GAAGAGAAATGAATAGAATAGATTAGATATAGATATAATTGCATGCATACACATTTACACATGCTAGAGGGATACACGAATGATTGTGCCGTATAGAACCTTCTTCCTCTCTTTCCCGGCCGTTCAATCATTCCCGTCCTGATTAAGCAATTTACTTATCTTATTTTATTTTACGAGCGAAACCGCCGTCGCCTCGATCCCGAACGAGCAAACAAGCCATTAGCCTCGTGACGGAACGAGACATGGCATAACGGACGATACCGCGCAAGAGACTTAAACGCTCCTGCACGCAAAGGTGGACTGGCGGCGAGCGAAGGATGGCGTGAGGCGGGTCTTGTAATGATTAAGGATCGAGTGCCGATGAACAGTGAACTTGCGAGGCGATTGGCTGTTCACAGGAGGACCGAATGACCCCGAAGAGCGAGTGAGTGACTCCATGAGTGATTGGGGGAGAGCTACCGCGCGTGAGTGAGTGACTGTATGAGTAACTGCGTGACTGCGATGTTGGTCGGCGGGCTGGGGAGGGAGGAGAGGGGGAAGGGTTCCGGGCAGGAGGGGGAGGGAGGGAGAGAGGCAGGAGGGCGGAAGGGGAGGGCGGGCGAAGGGGAGGGCGGGAGGCAGGAGGATAGGCAGAGCCGCTGGAGTCGAGCGTGGTGCGGGACGAGTCTCGGAGCCACACGTAGACCCGCACAGTTACAGCTCTGTGGCCGAGCCGACCAACACGGCCACACCAGCGTGTTCCTCGTTGCTCTGACGCTCGCCCGGCGCCACTCGCACCACGCGCCCCATACGCGGCCTCACCTCTCCCCCCCTAACCCTCCCTCTCTACAACACCCCTCCTTTTTCTCTCTCCCCCTGTCTATCTCTCTCTCTCACTCGCACTCGGCACCGCGAGGCCTGGCGCCACGGATAACCTGGCTCCTGTCGCCGCCTGCACGTGCCCGACCTGTGCTGGCGCCCCGACCAAGGACTGGATTAAGGACTATGACATGATCGCACGTGGGATGCTTTGGTTATTTTTGTAGTAATTCTGAGTCGTTGGAAGCAGGCGAGCTCGTGAGGCAAAGTCCCCGTGAAAGAGTTGCGAAATTGTTTGTGCAGTGGCGAGGGAACCCGGGGAAGTGTGCGACCTCGCGGGCGGGACCTGCGGCAGGTGAGCGCCAAAGAAGGAAGGAGGCAGCGGAAGGCCCAGCAGAAGGAAGAAGCGGAAGAAGGACAGGGACACCGGAGGAGGAGAAGAAGGACGAGGAGGAGGAGGAGGAGCAGGAGGCCGGCGGGATGAAGGGTGGCCATGGTGGCGGTGGGCGTGGGTAGTGGGCGGCATGGAGTCTTGTGTGTCGCAGCACTACGTTACCCGGCGCCACTCCTGCCCATGGGCGAATACGTCCAGGTGCCTCCCGACATGGGCGGCCACCCGTGCACCCCCGCGATGAGCTCGTACCTGGAGTCGCTGCCCCCGGGCGTGGGCATGCCGGAGTACCCTTGGATGAAGGAGAAGAAGACGGTGAGGAAGCCAGCCCAGCAAGGTGAGTCTCCAACCACACGCCCTCGTCACGCCCTATCCCTTCGGGCGGGCGGACGAGGAGGAACGCCGGGCGTGAATCAGGTGTGCGCGGGTGGGCGGAGGGAGGGAGGGAAGCGGCTGGGGCGACCACGTGTGTTTCACTCGCCGTCCGAAAAGTCGTCGGCGCCGCCTCGGGAGGTGGCAGAAATGGCGGTCTTTTGCTCTTTTCTACCTGTTCGCTTGTGTCTGTGTACCTGTCATTAACATGCTCGCGCGGTCCAGGCGACCTGTTCGTTGCGAAGGAAATGTCCTAAGCCGAAGGAGCGAGCGGCGTCCTCGACCCCCGGCTCCAGGGGCGGCCCGAGGAGAGCCAGATCCTTGACGTCTTTATCGCCGCGCCGAAGGGAAATCGGTGCGTGTCTCGGCCCGACATCACTCACCGAGCCCGTCTTTGATGCAGATCTCCGAGCGCCGTAACGCGCCGGGGACACGCACACGCGCCATCGCCGGCGTGAGGGACGGCCGGAACCCGAAGGGAAGTTAACCTGCCAGAGACGAGGTCATTCCGGAGATTAACCCCGTCCGGAGCCTCTCCTCTGCCGGGATTAGCGCGGCGAATCAAGCACCGGATTACGGCTCGGGGATTCCTGCCGCCGGCGTCGTCGTCGTCGTGAAAAAAACGAAAAAAACGGATCCATCGACCTCTGGCACAGGCGGCGGCGAGGCATGGACAGCCTCAAAGGGCGACAGAAGGCAGAGGAAGCAAAGGCCAGAAAAGAAGGAGAAAAAGACCCGTAGAACGCGCCGAAGGCCCAGCAGGAGAAGGCCCTCGACGCCCGCTCTCCCTGCCTGCGAGTCCCCGCCGCCGAAGCCCCGCGAAGGCTCCCCGACGCCCTCCATCACGGCCGCCGACAGACCCAATGCGCCTCGAACGGCCTGTCTGTCACGCCGGACGGAGCCCGAAATAAACCCGCCGTTATTATCTGGTTATTTGCTCGACGCGGGACGGCAATTGCGGGCCGGGATTGAGCAATTGGGAGTTCTTGACGCGAGCCATTTCGCTGGCCGGAATTTATGACGTCACAGAAAAAATATGCACGGGGATGTCACCTGTTAGCGTTTACTGTAGAGAATGTAGCGAAATACAGGTAATAAATCATGTATGGCGATGCATTTGGACAGCGATATATGACATTGCAAATTAATTCGTTATGAATATGATCTGTTGGTAATATACCCGACTTTCATTAAATGTTCAGTCCTATGAATATTTTTCCGGACATTTCGTCAATCTAAAAACATCATCAATGCGATAAATGTCTAACTTCATTTTATACACAGTCCCAATCCTTTCGAGGAGCCGTGATGTAAAACCCGATCGCATATAAAATATGGCTAGATTATCATCAAGATTTGCAAGAAACTGTTCGAAACGGCTTTAGGCACATATAAGAATAGTTTATTGAAGAGAATTTTCGATTCACAAAATGAAGAGGAGGATAAGGAATCGAATAAATAAAGAAGAATTTCCAGTCTCCGAACACACGCGTCCCTTTAGAAAAAAAGACGAACAGAATCACGAAAACCCACGAAATAAACTCATTAAGACGATGGAATCACATCCCCCTCGAAGACACGAACAAGTAACAACAGAAAACAAATTACTTTCCCGCCATCGGGGGGTTACGAGCGCACAACAGTCGTTCTCTCTCGCCCGAAAAAAAACGACAAACACCAAATTTAGCGGCCGAAAATTCATCACTTTATACCAAGTAATTCATTAACGCTTAAATCCCTCGCACCCTTTCGTTCTAACTCGAAACGACCGTGAGATTATTTCTATAGCCTGTATCCCCCCGACGAAAATTTTAGGGTCGGCGGTGAGTTGTATGCAGCCGGCGAGAGAACGTGACTGTAGCGGCGGGCGGCGGGAGGGAAAAGGGAGGGGAAAGAAAGGAGGAAGAGAGGGATACAAAGAGACTAAGAATAATGGGAGAAGGGAGAGAAAGAAGGGAAGAAATGGAGAATGAGAGACGAGGGGGGAAACAAAAGAGAGAATTAATATAAATAATAAACGGAATACTTCAATTTCATTATGTATAAACCTCATGAATAATTATCTTCAAATCGCCTTCAAAAATCTTTGCAAGACGCAGCTGCTAATAACTCGTTTTAGACCATAGAGTGTGATATTGCAACCTTACGCACACGGCGGCTGCAACAGGTCATCACAGCGGGCAATGAAGTGTCGGATTGCAAACAGCGGGGCGATCGTGTTGCAGACGGAACAGAACATTCCAGAACGTTGCAACGAAGGGCCCGAAACGGCTCTGCAAGGAACAGCAACAATCACGAAACCTGCGACGAGTGAACTGTCATTCGCCGTTCTCGTGTCGCGTGTCCGTGCGCCCGCCTCGCGTTGCGTGCCGGCGCTGCAATTTTGCATTTTTATCTCATAATCTGCCGATCCGTCTCCCTTTTTTGCGGTCATCCGTCAGCGTATCTGTTTGCGGGCTATTTGTTCATCAGCGATCAGTCTATCTACTTATGTATCATTCGAGCGGCGCAATTACTCTTTTTGAGACGGCAATTAACCGTATGTAAGGTGTGCAAGCTATATATCATGTGCGGTATACAATGTGCATATGGGTGTATGTGCATGCATACATACATATATGTATATATATATATATATATATATATATATATATATATATATATATAATAGAGAGAGAGAGAGAGAGAGAGAGAGAGAGAGAGAGAAGAGAGAGAGAGAGAGAGAGAGAGAGAGAGAGAGAGAGAGAGAGAGAGAAATTGTGTGTGTGTGAATAGAAAAAATTATATATATATATATAATATATATATATATATATATATATATAATATATATATATATATATATTAATCATATGTAAATATGTATATATATATACATATATAATATAAATATATAATATATATATATATATATATATATATATATATATATATATAAATATATATATATATATATATATATATATGTACATATATATATATATTAATATAATATATATATATATATATATATATATATATATATATATACATATATATGTATATATGCATACATATATGTATATATATACATACATAAATATGAACACAAGCACAAACACAGAACCGTCAACACAGAAATGAAAATAAAAACTAGTCACATGAGAGAATTGAAAATAATCGTAACGTTTCGAACTCTTCACGCGTTCCTCTTCCGACAAAACCGAAATGATTATTTCAATTCTCATTGTGGCTAATTTCATTTTCATATACAAATACGTATATATATATATATATATATATAATATATATATATATATATATATATATATATATATATAATATATATATATATATATATATATATATATATATATAAACAATACACACACACACACACACACACACACACAACACACACACACACACACACACACACACACACACACACACACACACA